GACTTGAGGTTAGTGTCTTATTTGATCCTTCACCCCCACCTCACTGATGAAGAAAACGTCAGATGAAATGTGACATGAGCGTTCACACTGCAGTCACTTTGAAAACATCAGATATATATCCGATTTAAAACCACATACTGAAACGACCTGGGTCGGATTTGAAAAAATCGGATTTGTCGCGTTCAGACTGTCATAAAAAAATCAATGAGTCAGATGGGTCAAAAAAATCGGATTTGGGTCGGATTTGCCTGCAGTGTGAACGTAGCCTAATACAACCTAACCTGTTGTAGGGAGTAACATCTGAAAACTGGACCAACATGTGGAAAAAGAAAAGAAGAAGAAGAAGAAAGAAAAATAAGCCCAGAGGCTAAAGTAGTTAGCTAGCAGACAGCACTCCTCCTCATGTAGTGTAATTAAAGAGGAGACCAGGCTGTATTGACTAAAAAACCACGTCATGCCCTTGAAGGAACATCTGTACTGGAGGAAAAACAAGGCAATTATACAAAAAAAACTAAATAAATAAATAAATACAGGTGGGGGATACTCAGAGGAAAGAAAGATAGAAGGAGCCACCTCGAGCCTTAAATAAAAGACAGGTAGAAAATCGGATACAATAAAAGACAGTCTGCTTTAGCTTCATTCGGATTGTTACCCCCCCCCCCCACACCCACACACACACACACATCCTTTTTTTAAACTTCTAGTTTTTGACATCTTTATCTGCCATTTTGAAACCTCAAGGCCTTCCAGATGAATGTGTTTACCCTGACCTCGGCCTCCGAGAGAGGCAAACTGATCTAAACAATCCCCCTGCTCCCAGGTCTGCTGTGTGACAACAAGTGTTTCACCACAGAAAAGCACTAACCAGCACAGCGGGCAGTACAAACGTTTCTTCATAAACTATCTTCACAATGTTGCATTGGGGAAATACACATTTTTTTGTTGTGTAAGTCAATTTTTACCAAACATAACCCCTAATTTTTAATCCCTTATTGTTCATAAATCAAGCAGCCGATACAGGAAACTCCAGCCGATTACTGCATCCCAGGATAAACACAGACAAACAATAAACACCATAGTTTTTCAACAAAGAAAGATATGGTCACAAGGGGACAAGACGCAGGCTTGATTTCCACTATTTGTTCTGCAGGTTCCCACAAAAAGATTAAGTTTGTTTGTGAATATGTCCATGAGATCTGCACAAAGCTTTTAAGATAAAAAAAAACAAAAAGCAAAAGGGATAACATGGTAGGGGGTGGCCAAGGGGTTGGCGTTCCCACAATTATTTCACATAGATGAGAGAACAAAGAAGACTGCACAGAGCATAATCCCACTTCAGTGTTTTCACCACAAAAATGCCTCCCTATCTGGGAGTTACAGTACAATCCGACTGTTTTGACTCCAAACTGGGTGCACGGCCAAACCTGACGCATAACGTCGCCTACATGTGACAGACCTACATCTGTTAACAAGCTCAACAAAGCAGGAAAAACTATCATATGTAGCCTAGGAGGTGAAATGGTAAAGGAAAAACATCCAACTCAAAGGGTCAGTAAGGTAGAGCAAAAACAAAATTTATGCTCCTATTACTGGGCCAAAGGTAAACAAGGACAACCTTCCTCCAGATTTTTCAATATTCCCCCCCTTTTTTTTCCCTGAGTTGCAAAACGCCCCCCAGGCAAATATTTAGTCGACAGGGTCCAGACTGCGAGACTACCTCATTTCTTGGCAGAGCTCCTTAAACCTCAACTTTGTATGTCTCTCTAATACCTGCTGCTGTGTACTGCAGCCATCTTTCACTCCACAAATAGCTCGATCTAAAGACAAGGTCTCTGTAATAAATGGAGAGGAAATGTTTGCACTGGCCCATGGACAATCCTGCAGCCTGACGGAAATGAAGGCCAAAAAATACCCCTCAACATTGGTTCACCGGACACGCTCTTATGCACAATTTCAAAAATGTTTGTTAGACTAAACCAGGGTTTTAGATCAAAGTCACATCTGCATTTACTCAGATGAAAACCCATGTTACAAACAACATTCAGCCTTGAGTTCAGGGTCAGGGTTTCAAGTCAAACAGAAGAAAATTGGGGTTACCTTTCTGGCACTGGTTCAAAGTCCAGCAGCGGTAGTCACTGTTGTCATTGATCGACGTCCTCTGACAGAGAGGGTTATCCCCCATGATGCCCGGGCACACGTTGTCGCACTCCTTTGCCTTCTTGTTCCCACTTAAAACATTGTTAACCTCGGCATCCATAATCAGAGACCAGTCCACCGAGTCCAGGTAGCAGAGCTCTGGGTTCTTCTCAATCCGCACGGCTCCACGGGTGATGTTCCTCAGGTTGTACAGGCCTATATCCTTCAGGCTGGTCATCTCGTAGATCACCAAGGCGTAGTCGTAGAAAAGATTCTGTCCACGTATGACACTAAGGTTGGGGAAGAGGGTGCTGAGGCTGTCCAGGCCGGGGACGCGAAACAAGAGCAGGTAGTCGGTGATGACAGTCAGCTTTGGGAAGCTGAGGGAGCTGAAGACCTCCTGGTTGATGTTACTCGTCTTCTCTGTAATTAAGAGGATCTGAAGATAGCCTTCCACTACCGTGCAGTTCTCCAGCCGTTTTAATTCACTGATGTCATTTCGGATGTCAATGCTCGGGCTGCAAACTGGAAGACACAAAAAAGTATTTTTAGACTTTTTTTTACATAAATTACATTACACATTATTTATACCAAACATAAATAATAGAACGTAGCATTTTCTTAAAGCTGGTGCTAAATTGTACCTATCAGAACATCAAATGGTCAGTTCCTATGGGGCTCAATGCAGTTCAGTATACATTCTTACCTGAGCTACAGTAATTTAAAGTCTGGTTATTGAGGATATTTTTGTCTAAAAATCAACATTTCTAACAAATTAAATACGAGTGAAGAAACTGTAATATAGTGTTATATAAGGAGGCATAACTTCCCATTTCTTTTCTATGAATCTGAACACAGAAATCTCCATTTTCCTGTAAAATGTTTTGTCACTCGCCTCAGATAACCTCACCCTGCATGTGAGCCAATTCTCTGAGCTCGGAAAACAACACTAGAAACCACAGTGCTGGGAGCATTCGCTGATGGCACACTGACATTCACATAAACCTTAACAACAAAGACAGCCCTTATTATTCATGGCAAACAGCTCCGCGGGATATCCTGTGAATTACTACACCAGATGATTTGTAACGTTCTGACTTAAATGGAATGCTTACTGCTAAAATAAAACCCTGTCTTGTTTTGATAACTCTCAGCTTTTGTAGTGTTTGGAAAGTGCCAAGCTGTGATATTATTGATGCTGCCTTCCAAGCATTAAACACACACACAAAAAAATGTGTGTGAACAAGTTTTGACACAGAAGCAGTGACTCACACCACGCCAGTAACTACATTACAAAAAAAGAGATGGGAATTTAGGAAAACTATGCGAGGGTGAAGTTTGCTTGACTTATTCTCTCCGGGCATACCTTCACCTCCTCAGGCTCTCTTCCACCTGCTTACCTACTCTCGCTACAGATCACAGTATCACCTGCAAACATTGTAGTTCACGGGGACTCCTGCCTGACCTCATCTGTCAACCTGTTCATTGTAAGCATCACAATAACAGTCACTGGCTTTTAAAATGGGAACTAAAACAAAATCCTTTGTCTGCATGGAGGATGTGGTCCTGATGATTTCCATAGTTTGAAATGTCAGAGTTCAGGGCAATGTTTTACTTTATTAAAGTCCACCTGAAGTAAGTCTGGTTTTCTGGTTTTTTGATTTTTATTTGTGAATAAACCAACAAATTCTGGTGCTTTTATTGCCATATCACCATTTAACTTTCAACCATTTATATTTTTTTATGACATGAAATAATATACCTAAAATTAAAAGTACCATTTCTCAATTTTCTATTTTTTGTCAGAGCAAATAAACATAATTTAATCAAATAGGCTCAAGGACAACATCCATTTTGTTGTGTAACATTTCAAATGAGAAATATGACTAAAATAATTGGTAAATTGTTGCATTTCTTAAATCTACTCAGCAATTTTGAAGTGTTGAACTATGAAACAAGCATTTCTTTTGACTAGATTGCTATCCTGAATACGCCACTTTCAGAATTGCTTACTGTGTACAATGACCCACATTTGAATATTATCTTGTACTGTAGATGCTTACCCATTAATGCAGCCACTCGCAATTTTTTGTTATGTGATGCTTAAATGAAAGTGGGTCAGGGTTTTCATTAACCTATTTCACATAACTGTCTCAAGCCAGGCCTGAAACACCTTCTTCCTGCACTGGTGTCATGTGTGGAACAACGAAGATGAAAGAGCTGAAGCTTAGTCACCAATGACGTGCCTCTGAACTACGCACTAATAGAGGTAGTCACAGAGCTGAGTTGACGAGTATGTGTGAACTGAGAGACAGCAGCACGTGTTGTAACTCTGTTGGTTCTGGTATTTCGGCTTTGTAAGCGAGCACACTTCATCGTGGGACATGGGCGACTTGACTAGTTTACGAATGAATTACTATCGGAAGTTTAAAGACAGGCATTTAACTCACACTATAACAAAAAAACTGTTGTTCGTTTAATAACACAAAGGAAAATGCTATGTTAACTTGACATTTGAATAAACAAATGCTGTGCAGCTGAAGCTGCAGCTCGGTGCAGAAATTTGTTCCTTTATGAAGCTTTTGTTCAGTATTTAACTACAATGAGGACAAAGGCCAAGGAAGTAAACAAACACTGCCATAAAACAACATTTAGTAACTACTGCCTGTGGCTGCAGGAGAAGAATGTTTAACTCCGTGTAACATATATAAACTCAGGATGACTCGACATGCAAAACAATAAAAGCCACGTTTGATGCTGTGTTGTTCAAACCTTGTTTTAGCCCAAAATAGAAGCCGCATTGTTTATGAGGATGAATGGGCTATATTTGCTTCTGACGGGGTGTTTCACTTGTCCAAATTTAGAACGGAAACAATTACTCCCGTAGAAAATAGTATTTGCTTTCTCCAATCAACACCAATGCCCCTGGGCTCTACTTGTGAGCCATCGAGCTGCATGTCTTCTTTGTTTCATTGAGAATTTTCCTCCAGCTTCTTCCAGCAGCCGGGGAAGCGAGGGAGGAGGGGTGGAGCCACTCGGATACAAAGGCTAATTTGTTTGTTAGTAAAGAGAAGCTCTGGGCTCCACTTCCTGATGAGGGCATTAATAAAATCAAGGAGGGGGGGCTTCTGGCCAGGGAAAGATAAGGTTTCAGCCAAGCTAACGAGAAGCGTGAAAGGCCAGCAAACTGAAAATGTTGTCCTTTAAATGAATTTGAGGAAAGACTGGAATGCTCAAACAAAAGGGGCTGGAATGGGAATGCAAAAAAAAAGAAAAGAGGAATGACAAAACCCTCTTAATCTTCCCATTAGGCATGTTAAGTAGCAGGAATTCCAGTCATTTCTTTGCACAAAGACCAAGAATGATGTTGCCTCTAACTAACCCTGAAGGCTCGTGTGATTCCAGGAAATCTACATGTCGTAAAAAAAAATAATAATAAAACAGCACTTAAACTAAGTCTAATTGCATAAGAACTGTTTCAGCTCCGGTGTCCACATGGAGCGATACGTTGCACACAAATGTCAGTCCCTTCCTCCTGCGTCTCTTTGCTCTTCACACTGCTGAGTAAACACACATATCTCCGCAGCGTAACGGGATCCATCAGCTCATGTTTATGATTGATAAACCTTGCCCCGGCTCTCTGTGGAGATGTCAACACACACAAACACACACCTGCACAAGCGCAGGCAAACATGACCCCAAGCGAGCACCTCGGTTTAAAATTAAACTAGGAAGAAAGAAAAACAACGATCTTGAAGTCATTCCTAAACAGCGAAGACGCTGTTGCGTGTAAATAACCATCTACACATCGGGGTTACAGGCATGAGACTGAAATCCTGACCTGAAGCTGTTCTGTTTATTAACGGGCCACAAACCGAGCATCCTCCAGCGGGCAACCAGCTATAAACTCCAGAAAAGTTGTTAAAAAATTCCTCCCACCCACGGTTAGTCTGAGGACATTTGTTGCTCTTTCTTTTTCTTGAAGTTCCTGAAGGCCTACAACTCTGGCGGCCGTATCAGTCACAGCGTGGGGATTCAAACCCTTTTTAGAAGAACTGGAGCCGATTATTACACAGAGAAATATTATGTCACACTATTGAGATGATTTATTTTTCTTTTGTAAGTTTTTCAGCACCTATCTTTGTTCCACAATTGTGCCATTTGAAAATTTTATACACAAAACATTAAGCTTCTTCCAGGTGACTTTTACTTCAGCAATTTATACATTTTAACATATCTAATTGTTGTCATTTTTGTTCTCACTGAAAATGAATGAAGTCGTCTTAAACATTATTTAAATCTCTCAGAATAGTTCAACCTTTCCTGCACTTTTCACCTTTTATTCTGGTTCTGCTTTTTTACTCTTTATGCTAATTTTAGCTTCATTCAGCTTTTTTATTTTATTTTACTAATTTTACCCCTTTTTTGCTTTTCAGCTATTTTTTTGCTCTTTTCAGCTAATCTAATTATTTTTATGCTTTTTTTCAGATGTTTTTTTTGTAATTTAAGCTCCTTTTAGTTATTTTCAGCCTACTGTAGCTCTGTTCATCTAATCTCACCTTTTTGTGACAATTCTAACTAGTTTTTTCAACTGATTAATTCAGCAAATGTATTTTTTCTGCTTCATTTTGCTATATTAAGCTTTTTCAGCTACTTTTCTGCTAATTTCAACTTTTTGGGGGCTATTTTACAACAAAATTTTACAAATCACTTTTTGTATTTATTTTCTGCAAAAAAGTCACATTAAGCATTAATTTAGCATAAAATGCTAATTCTCTGGTTAATTATAATATTATGTTAGTTCATTAAAACACTATACATCATATTAAAAACTGTTGCTCTCCAGTGAAAACTATTATTTTTGCAGTGAGGATGAAAACTTATTTTCATCTGATCAGGGCAGGTACAAGATTAACCTTCCTGATTATGCAGAACAAGCAAACATTGCAAATAATCTTTTTCAGTATGTGCTAATCTCTGTTTATATTTATATAAAAAAAGATAAAGTTAAACTTGTACATGTTTATTGTCTGAAATACCTCAGCAAGAGATCCAGACTTTACTAAATATTACAGCATTTCGTAGATGATCAACTCAGCTTGAAAACTATTATTTTAAATTCCTCACATTAAAGTTTAACAGTTGTATGTTTTGCAATTAAAAGTTTATTTTTTAATATTTCTATCTTGCACTTTTTTTTGCATATTGCCTGGAACATAAAATTGACATGTAAAGCAATAATTCACATCAGAACAGACCCAACAAAGATTATGAACAATTAATATCTTACCTGTAGCAGACAGCATTCTGAATGACCTCTGGTTGGAGAGCTTCATTTTGACAGGATTGATGAGTAAATGGCTGGTCTGAGCAGAACCAAGATCAAAGTGGATTGCTGCCATCTTAAAACAACTTTATGTTAAATATTTTATTGTGGTTCATTCAAAGACTATTTTACAAACCTTTATAGTGACATCAAGTTTGTTTAAATATAATCTTTTAGTTATTTGTGAGCAAGAATAGCAGTAGCAGCTTTCTGTAGCACTTCAAGTGCAGCTTCTCACTAAAATATCAATATTTCCGCAGGAATATTGATGTAACATTGAAATAGAGAGGTGTAAAGGTTTATAAAATAACATTTGTATCCCTGTGAAATCTTTTTTTATGGCAGCAACCTACTTCAGTCTTGTCTCTGTTCAGACTAGCCATTAGTCATCAATCCAGTCAGGATTAAACTCTATCACTATTTCTCTAAGCTTAGGTTGTTCATAAAGCTATCAGGAAAAATATTAATTGTTAATTACTTTTTCACATAATCTCACTGCAAAAGATCTTAATGATCTTTCTCTGCAGTTTATTTTAAAGGAAAACTACAAATATTTACTTCCTGTTGAAGGATTCAGGAACGACAGACTGTGTGTCGAGCTCCAAATCCAAAGTTTTAACTGAGTTTTTTTTTTTTTTTTTTTTTTGTCACTGTGCCATCACATCACCTTGCACCTGCCACGTCAAGCTGCCTTTAATCCGCCACATACTCCAAGTCATCTGACCAGCGGTCTGGTGGGGCCACACTTCCCCTTCAGCGGACCTCACTTCAAACACGGCGACTCAGATATCACCGAAAACCCCAAACAGTAACTCTACACTCCTCGTCATAACAACTCTCACACAAGGACCCCCACACACATGCATGCACACACTCGCAGGAAGAGCAGCATTACAAGTCGCTGCGACCTGACTTTTGTTAAATAATGCACTTTGATAATGGATTAAGGGAAACTAAACTACAAAAATCTGAAAAGGGAATTGTTTTATACACTGAAAGAGCCAGTTTAAAATAACTGGACGAAAGAATTACCACTGATAACACCTTAATCTGAAATTGTAAAAATATGTACCTGAACTGCTCATCCTTATCAAAACAAATACAAACAAAAACATGATAAACATGATGCAACAAAAAAAGTCTTGGAGGTGAGATTCTGGAAGCAACAAAGACAATGATACTTGAATATTTTCATGTTTTCACAGCACTCATCTGATAAAGAGACTGTCGTCTGTTGTCACACAAATTGTTAAATCTATACGTGTTATTAAACAGGAAGTTAGATACTGATGTGCTGTCAGTCACAGACTGAATGCGACTGATGTAGTGATGAGCCAGTTGAAATAACGAGTTAAATGAAGTCTTTTAAACCTTTGCTGGCAGCCTGAAGGAGCGTGTTCACAAACCAACTAACCGACACAGAAAACTCATCGTAAAGTACAGGAAATGATCTCTGCAGGTGTGATGAGTGGTGTGAAGGTTGAATGTCACCTCAGATACAAGAGCAAGGGGAGATTTGAATGTTGGTTTGGCCATTTGTTTGTTTTAATACAAAGAACCGAACAGGAACACTTATCTTTAGGAATCAGTAGACAGAACATGGAATTTTGTTGCAGGAGACGAGGTTTAGTGCATCACTCCATTAATGCCTGGTTCACACGGCAATTTTGCCAATTCCTGGCTAGATTTGGGCCTTTTGACACTCTTAAGGATGCCACAATCATTGCGATGCTCTAAAGAGAATCTTATGAGATATCCCTGTCATGTGTCTGGTGTGTGATTGATGTAGAGACCGCTTCGACCTCAAATCGGAGGATATTCAACATGTGGGATGTCTTGGCCCAATATTCCAGCGTGTGTTGTTCCCGGAGGATGAACGAGCTGGCAGCCTGTTGAATGTGACGTGTAGCCAACAACTGGCATGGCTCATCAGAAGGTCTGGTGAACGTCTGAGACATCTTTTCTTGTTTTTTTTTCTTTGTTAAAAACAGCCCACAAACTATCACCATTGCTTCTTCCCCGTTAGCCATGTTCGTTTACTCTGAACTCATGTTTAATCTCGAGAAATTTTGTGATTTCCTGTCTGACGATTGAACGTTGGTGAGGGAAATCACACACTGTAGGATCGAACCTGTCATATCTGAGTTTTTATCGTCATCATGGGCGTAATTTGCTGGGGAGTTAAGGGGGTATGACCCCCACAATAAATATTACATCATTTACTCTTACACAATAGATATTAACTGGTTAAGTCCGCAGCCACAACTCTCTTGTTGCCTTCAGGTAACTTTGACCTGATTTCAAAATTTACAGTGTCATATTTATGTTTAAGCATAACTGCTGAAAATGACTTGCACGGTTTCAGAGCATAATCCCTTCAATGGTAGACCTAAACATACACTCTTGATCGTCATGTGTGGGGTCTGTCAGTCTTTGACAATCAGACGACAATTTTAAACTCTTGCTGTATGAACCAGGCATTAGGAGGCATAACTTGCCTGTCTGTCCATTCTGATCAACCAAACCTGATAAGAGTCCATTTCTCTTGCTACAAGTGTATTTTTTGCACGGCCTATTTCCAAACACCCCGCTCCGTCGTCCTCGCGCTCGCCGCCGCATTTAGAAGCTGCATACTTGGACGCCGTGGCGTGGAAAGTCTGCTGCGGTGAGAGTTAAAAGACTGCCTAACTACATTTTATTGGTGTGGACAGATATCAAAACGAACAGGAAATTTTAACCCCTAAATAGAGCTCTTGGAGATTTGTGATTTTTATTTATTTTTTTTCTAGTACGTGGTGACAGGAGCTGGAAACTCTGAAACCTCCGCAGCTCGTTAAACATCGTCCACGAGTTGGCAAAGCAGCAACACAGATCCGGACATTTTCCACAGCCTTTATCACCAAATTCCTTATTTGTAGAAGGGCTGATATGTTCTAAAGCACAGAGCTCGGTGACATGAGAGCAACAACTATCCCCCGAGCCTTCCTGACTGCATTCAGAAGTTCCCCCTCTGATCTCAGAAGGGTTCAAATAACACGACGGAGGTCAAATCACAGGTCAAAAGGAACGAAATACGAGTTTTTATTAATTGTGAATAACAGCGGAGTCTACGTCTCCTTCTCATGCTGAGATGATCCCACCTCAAGCGTTAAATAACATTATTTTTTACATGTGTGTGACGCCAACAACCGCCGTTCATGTTTCAGCACACAATCCCAATCTCTGAGCCACAGGCCAAACAGATACACCCAGAGCTGCTTCGTGGGTGACGTCTGCTGTCAAAATAATTCAGAAAATGTGAAACAAATCAAAACCATCACGGTTAGCAATCTGAAGAAGATTCTGGTCGACAGCGATCAAACACGGGGAAACTACTGCTGTCTTTTCTAGTTTAAATCAGTCTCATCTTAAAGTTTAATATCTTTATACGTTTTATCATGGGTCGCATTCACAAATCAGCACTTGGCTGAATTAATTTTGATATAATTTGCGTCGATATAGTACGGCACACCAGGAGTTTGTTATGCACAAGACGGCATTTATGATGTTTTCAACTAGGAGTGAAATGAGGCCATAAAAACTAAATGGGACACTATTTTTTATTAAAAAAACAGCAACTTTAAAGAAATAAATCAAAGTAAATAAAAACTTAAATAGCCCCAACTGCCTTCCTAATTCTCGTATTAATTTCTTTGTCATACAATTATTTTTTTTACAGGTTAAAAGAACCAAATGTTCACAATCCTGTTTTTGAGTGTAGATAGTGCAAAAATAATCAAGGCTTTATTCATGAATATTAAATACCTACAGACACATATTGCTGAGTAGCTTCAGAGCAGATTTTTATTGCTCATCTGTTTATAATAACTGGTGTTCTGAAGCCACTGGGGGGGTTCTGGGCGTTAAAATGAGCAGGATTTGGCTGCTCGTGCGCTGCGCAGCGACGCCACACCACCAAATGCAAAATGGCCACATGGTTGTAGTAACCTTCAGCTCCGCTCCCTGGATTCATCTTCTGCTTCCTGACGGCCAAAACAATAAAAATAAATCAAACCAATATTTTTTTTTAAAAAATGATCTGGGCTGTAGTTTGGATCCAAACGAAAAAGAAGAAGCCATCAGCAGATCAAGGAAGTGACAGAATCTGCTGAATATTTGGGTTAAATGCGGTCACCTACTGATGGCAGCTGGACCACATGGTCCCTTAAAGCGCATATGGTGTTTTAATGACGAGCACGGTGCAGCTGGGCTCGTCATCAAGCCTCCAACTGATCACCACGAAAACATTTTTCACCCCCAGATATCCATCAAAAGCCATTTCATTCCTGCATCTCTCTCTCTCCACCCAGGCGGACTCCTCCTGAGAGGTTAAACCGGGTAAAGCCAAAGCGCACTGTGCCTCCAGGCCCTCCTCCTGTCAAAACTCTTCCATTCAGGTGAAAAAAATAAAAATAAAAACAAATACTCACTCTCTCCATGTGTGGAGCTGATAGTGGAGACAGACAGCAGCAGCAAACCCCAAAACAAGGTCAGGCTGCCCATCGGTGTGACTGATCTCTCCTTCCAGATCATTATTTTCCTCTAAGGGAAATCAGGGAAAAAAAATGTGGGGCAGAAAACTCAAAATAACACCCAGTTCTAGCAAAAAGTAATAATAAAAAAAGGGATGTTTATAATTTAAAAAGAGAATAAGAATAAAGTAGCCTAGAAGAGGCTGCTCTTAGGCAGCCTGCAAACGCGTGCTCGATTTTCCAGGCTTGAAATTAACATTAAATATATATTTTTTTTTAAAAAATAAGGTTGTTGTTGTTAAATACTAAAAAACAGTTTGCTGTTTCTCTCGGTCACTGTGCACTTTGGCTGCTGTGGCACACAGGCCAGTGTTTATCCTGAAGAAATGATGGTAATCTCCATCTTCATTCTCCATCTCCTGAAAACAGCAGCGCGCCTCCGGTGCGTTCAGGCCTGCCGTTCAGATGAAAAACAAAAACAAGAAAAACAACAACAACAAAAATAAAAATCCAGACGGCAAAAGTCCACCAGCACAAAGAAATAAATAAAGCTTCACAGAAATTAAAGCTCCACAACAGTGAGAAACACTGGATGAGGATGATGAGGGGGGGAAACGGAGGAGGAAGGTGGGGGCAGGAACAGATCCACAGGGGTGGTGGCTGGAAGGTTGGAAAATGAATGAAAACCCCCTTCTTTTCCTCCTTCCTTGATCCAGTCAGCTCAGATGGTTTAAGGTCGCCAACAATTGTTGTTGTTTATTAAATAACAATAAAAATAATAATAATAATTCCCAGCTCCTCTTTTGCTCGTCGCTTTGGCTTCGCAGCTGAAAGAAAACACCAGACTTGTGCCACGCAGGAGAACGGGTCTCCAAGCTTCCCAAAGCTAGACGACCTCGGCAAGGGGTGGGAGGGAGAGCGTGTCCACGCGTTTGCCCCTCTCTTTTTTGTGAAAGTGTTTCTTCTTCTTCTTCTTCTTCCCACGCAGACGAGAGGAGAAAAGACGTGGAGGAAGACGGTGGCGGAGGGGGGGAGTCTGGCCGCGCGTAAAATCCAGGAGGATGAAAAATCACGCGGCTCGCCCTCGGTGAACGCAGGCTGCGTCTCTCTGCTCTAAACAGGAGTCAGCGTCTCTCTCACACACACATATACAAAAACACATAGCTCCACGGAGAAGGTGGCCCGGAGCAGGACGGAAAACCCGGAGTGGATTTAGTCCACGGAGAGTCTGCAGAAAACAGGCGCGACATGAGAAACGAAAAGCCCCCAAATTCAGCTTCTGATGGAGATTTCTGCAGAGGCGTTCTTAACATCCTGAGACACTGGGGGGCAACTTCATTCTTTACACAGAAAATGAGTTATTTTCAGGTTTATATGCAGTCTAAAAAAATCTCAACTGTTTTGTTTACATGTGCAAAATGATTTGATCTGATATGTATTTGGATTAAATAATAAATGCATTGTATATGTGGGCACAGAATTAATTGATCTGATCATGTTGAGTGTTTACGTGCACCTGACTTATTCAGAATAGAGGTACTGACGTACAAAGTTGTAAAGTTTCCCTAAATAATAATAATAATAATAAAACAGACCATAAACAAACATGTTTTCTGAGCTGAATCAGATCAGAATATTTCAATTGGGGCATTTAAATGACGCATTTTTACTCAAATTGTCCATTCATTCCTATAACTTATGTCCATGTAAATGTGGCTAGAATAAGCTCATTTTTTCTACCAATAATGTTAATGTGTCCCTAAATTTAAAAAAAATGACTGGATGTTAACCACCGCTAGAGGCGGAGAAAGGCTTTTTTGCAAGGAGTGGCACAGGGGTGGCTAAGATGTTTTTTTATGGGACAATAAAAGCACTGGATTTGAAAATTCAACATGGTCACACATCTATTTCCAGATGGCTTTAATTCAGCTGTTTTATGAAATATTGAGCTGAAAATTTGTGTGATCATTGTAAAGAATGATCTAAAATTCACCCTGAATGCTAGTCACAATTTATTTTTCAGCCAGTTTTAGATGTACAAAGCTGCAGATTAAAGCAGAATTAGCCCAAAAAAAACTTTATTCTAAATGCTGGCCACCACAGCTAACTTAAAATGGCTATAACTCAACCATGTTAAGTAGAGACAGAATTAAGAATGATCATGTGCCAATTGCCTATGCTAATCTCAAATTAGGCTAACAACTAATTATAATGCTCATTTTACAAAAGGCTATAATTCAGTCATTTTTAAATGTACATAACTGAAAATTTATACAGTATCAGAAAACAATTTTAACACAGTCGAACTTCAAATACTAAATCCAAGTTCCCCACCCACTTGTCAATTTTTTGTGGGCGGTGGTACCCCTCAAGCTGACCACCTCGTTTCGTGACTGAAAAGAAATTAACACGGCTTTGAGAAGTCTGATCATTCTGATTCATCAACGTCTTCATGCTAAGATTTACTGAATAAAGTCAGCAGATACAACAATACATTGAAATGAAGTAAAGTTTCACAAAAAGCAACATGATAACGACTCAAATAACTCAACTGCGGTGGAGAAGATCCTGAGGACCCTTGGAGTGGATGATGGTTCCCTATAATGTCTCTGAGCTGCAAACAAGAAAAGATACAAACCAGAGAGGAAACTTGATCCAAGTCATCTTAAGATTTTACATTCAGTTCTTGTGGAGAAGAAAGAGCTATGGATCGTGTCTTTGTGGTTTTGATCTCAGCTATATTTAAGAGGAACCATCACACTTTGAACTGAACCCATCAATCAACTCTAAATCAGTCCAGACCACTGTTTGGAGTCAAAGGTACGGAAAAAATCCTGCATTTTTTAGTCCAGGAGTTAAATTGTTACCATTGTTCAAATGGTCAAATTATTATGGCATCTTCAGGATCAAACCATTATTAAAGTTGTTAGAATTGTGGGAATTTCTGGGTTTATTGGGTGTTTTGGCACTTTTCTTATTTAAGCAATACCCCGTACCTTTTCTAAATCAGGGTGCACTGCCTTTTGTCTGTTTAGGAAGAAAATCCTACTGGTAATAATTTCAAGAAAAAAAGGTAAACTCCCTTTAAGCATACAATGATTTTTTTTATTGTTTCTTGATTTTTGAAACAAAAATACACAATTTACAATAATAATAATAACAATGTGTTCTGTTTGGCTCGATAATTTGTACAAAGTATGAATTAGTTTTCTTTAAAAAAAACTTTATTTGTCCTTTTTTTGGTCAAGAATGTACACAACCCTCCTCCACACTTAAAACAGCATATATAAAAATGCCCAAAACATTTTTCACAAGATACCTGAGATAAGACTGAGCTCCAGGGAGGAGCTTTGTGTAAATAGGCGGGGCTTTGTACCAGCAAACATTTAGGCAGCTCCACATGGCTACCACAGGAGATTCAAGGATTTCTAAAACATGCATGAATGAGTCCCCCCTTTAAAAATAATTAAGGTCCCTCATTGCAAAAATAATTATTCTATCAAAAAATTAAACAAAAAGAAAGTGATAAAAATCCACACTTGCACTCATTAATTAATTCATTAGACAAGTTGATTGAACAGTGATTTCAACAAGACACTTTGAAAACATTTGAACTACAAAGTAATGATGAGCGAAGCAGGAAATTGCAGCCTTGTTTCTGGAATGTTTTGAAGGTTAGGGGACTTGTTGGAGCTGGAATCAGCTGGACAACGTTCAACAACATGAGGGGTGTTTAAAGCACTGAAGGAATACTACAGTTAATGCTGCACACCAACCTGAGAGGTGTGGAGTAAAACCTGGCATGGAGCTTCATCCAAACAGGAACCAGCTGCCAGACTTTCATGCACTGAACACAAGCAGCAGACAGAAGAGGGACGAGGTTCAGTCTGATGGGTCTACCCAGGTGAAGGTTTACAAACCAAAGTCAGCTTAAATTACAAAGAACTCTGTGGCTGACTGAATTGGGG